GCATATCACCCCCATCCTCAAAAAGCCCTCCCTGGATCCCGCGGACCCCAACAACCTCAGACCCATCTCCCTGCTGCCACTCACCTCCAAGCTCCTTGAGCGCATAGTCTACATCGCCTAAGCGCCCACCTTATTGACAATAACCTCCTTGACCCCCTACAGTCCGGCTTCCGTCCCCTACACTCCACCCGAAACCCCCTACACTCCACCGAAACCCCCTACACTCCACCGAAACCGCCCTACACTCCACCGAAACTGCCCTACACTCCACCGAAACCACCCTACACTCCACCGAAACTGACCTCCTCAAAATCACCAACGCCTGCTAACCGCCAAAGCCAAAGGTGACTACTCTGTCCTCCTTCTCCTGGACCTCTCCGCGGCCTTCGACACAGTTGACCACCCCCCTCCTCCTTAATAAACTACTCTCCCTTGGCATCAGAGACTCCGCCCTCTCCTGGCTCTCATCCTACCTATCCCGATGCTCCTTCAGCGTCACCTCCAACGGTGCCACCTCCCTCCCCCCTCCCTGTTGGGGTCCCCCAAGGCTCTGTCCTCGGCCCCCTTCTCTTCTCCATCTACACCTCCTCCCTTGGCCAACTCATACACTCTCACGGCTTCAACTACCACCTCTATGCCGACGACACACAAATCTACCTCTCAACCCCCCACCTCACCCCCTCGGTCTCCGCCCCCCCAACTCACCCCCTCACTCTCCGCCCACCTCCTAAACGACATCTCAGACTGGATGTCGCTCCATTTCCTCAAGCTTAACCTATCCAAAACCAAGCTCCTGGTCTTTCCCCCCCCCCCATCCTATCCATCATCACCAACAACTCCACCATCAATCCCGCCCCGCAAGCCAAAGTCCTTGGCGTCATTCTGGACTCAAACCTCTCCTTCCAATCTCATGTCCAATCACTTACTAACACATGCAGGCTCCGCCTCCGCAACATCGCCAAGATAAGTACGTTCCTTACCCCAGTGCAGGCTCTCCCCGCTCCAGACCATCCTGAACTCCGCGGCCAGACTCATCCACCTCACCAGCCGCTCCACCTCTGCCACCCCCCTCTGCCTCTCCCCTCCACTGGCTCCACCCCCTCTGCCTCTCCCTCCACTCCCCCCCCTCTGCCTATCCCTTCATTGGCTCCACCCCCCTCTGCCTATCCCTCCACTGGCCTCCATTCAGTGTCCTCCACCCCCCCTCTGCCTCTCCCTCCACTGGCTTCCGATTGCCCACCGCATCAAATTTAAACTCCTTACCCCGACCTACAAAGCCGTTCACAACACTGCCCCTGACTACCTCACCAACCTGATCCCCAAGTACCACCCTACCCGTACCCTCCACTCTTCACAGGACCTCCTTCTATCCTGCTCCCTGGTCTCCTCCTCCCACGCACGACTGCAGGACTTCTCCAGGTCCTCCCCTATCCTCTGGAACTCACTGCCCCAATCCATCCGACTGTTGCCTTCCCTCCCCACATTCAGGCGCTCCCTCAAAACCCATCTCTTCAGGGAAGCCTACCCCACCCTCACCTAACGGCCGCTTCCCTTCCTCCTCCTCCCACCACTCCATCCCCCACAGCCACTTCCTCCTGTACCACTATCCCCCCTCCTAGATTGTAAGCTGGAAAGAGTAGGGCCCTCTTACCCCTCGTACGTTGTTTGTTATTGTCCCCCCCCCTATTGTACAGAGCTGAGCATACCCTTTGGCGCTATATAAACTCGATGTAATAATAATAATAATAATAAACTGAAACGTAAAATATACAAAAATTCCCTTCCATAACATGTCTGGGGGGCTCCCTGACCCGGCCAGTGAAGGGGCCCCTCCATACGATGCATCCAACCGACTACAGAACTCCAACATTTACAAAAAGTGTGTTTGCCAGTAAATGACAGTTCCCGGCCTCTTCATTCTGCAGCCGGGGATTCCCCCTCATCTAGACCAACCCTTACCCTAGATGGGGGTCTGCTATCCATGGACTCCTGCTATAGAGGGGTGCCCAACTCCCACCAAATGACAGCTGTTATAAAAAGGGGCGGGGTCTCCAAGATGACATCAGTGGACATGACCATATATGGGGGTCCCCATGACCAAATATGGTCAACGAAGCCACCTGGGAGACCCCGTCCCTTTGCGGTCATCCACCAGACCTGTCATTTGATGGGTATGACTAGACAGGAAGAGACGTGTACGTGTGCATCTGTCCCCCCGCCGCCTCTACACCGAGAACTGAGCGATCGCACGACTGCCGATCGCTCAGTTCTCTGTCTTCAGTGAGCAGTGACCATCAGTCTCTGGTTCACTGGAGCGTGGGGTTGTGGAAGGGGTGGGTGGGGCTGGTTTAGGCTCTCAGCAGTGCATCAACAGGCTGAGCCATCTGTCAGTCAGGAATCTGGGTGGATCCTGACATTATTGTCAGGATCCCTGCAGAGTCTGGACCAGCTCTGTGGCGGGATTTATCCAGCTGTTTGCAGATTCTGGGTCATAGGAGAGCAAAAGTAAGTGCACCCCTGTGATCCACGAGAGATGTATGCTCAAAAGAACTTTACCCATACTTCTATTCTAAAGGTTGTTTGTGGGATCCAGTCTGCTGCAGCACACAGTTCTGCCCCACGTGGCAACACAACATACACACGTGGCAACACAACATACACACGTGGCAATACAACATACAGCTCCCTGACACTAAAATCAACAGACAGATTCTCTTCTCACTGGAAGAAACCGGGCCAGTGGATCTGGTAGGCCACAGGAACTGTAAATTTGAAAGGTGTATGGGAGATCCTGAGCCAGTAGATCTGGGTGGACAATGGCCCACTGAACTGAAATGACAGCTCATAGGCACTGCATCAGTGGATTTAACTAGTTTCCAGGAGACATTGGGGTCTCAGGAGAACCCTAGTAGGTCTGGTTGGGCCATCTCAGGAGAACCCTGGGTCAGTGGACCTGGATGGTCAACTGGTCACTGGGCAAGTGGGTCTGGTTGGTCTCAGGGAACCCTGGGTCAGTGATTCTGGATAGTCACTGGGCAGTAGGTCTGGTTGGTCTCAGGAGAACCCTGGGTCAGTGAATCTGGATGGTCACTGGAAACCAGTGGGGGTCTGGAGTAAGTCTCAGCGGAACCCAGTGGGTCTCAGGAGACCTGGGGTCTAGTCTCACGGGGGACCTGGATGGTCACTGGTGGGTCTGGTTGGTCTCAGGAGAACCCTGGGTCAGTGGATGGTCTGGATGGTCACTGAATCTGCCTGCATGAACTGGTGGTTCTCAGGAGAACCCTGGTCAGTAAATTTGGATGGTCACTGGGCCAGTGGGTCTGGTTGGTTCAGGAGAACCCTGGGTCAGTGAATCTGATGGTCACTGGGCCAGTGGTCTGGTTGGTCTCAGGAGAACCACTGGGTCAGTAATTCTGGATGGTCACTGGGCCAGTAGGTCTGGTTGGTCTCAGGAGAACCCTGGGTCAGTGAATCTGGATGGTCACTGGGCAGTGGGTCTGGTAATCTCAGCGGAACCCTGGGTCAGTGACCTGGATAGTCACGGGCCGGTGGGTCTGGTTGTTCTCAGGAGAACCCTGGGTCAGTGGATCTGGATGGTCACTGAGCCAGCATGTGGGTCTGGTTGATCTTAGGAGAAACCCTGGTCCAGTGAATTTGGATGGTCACTGGCCAGTGGGTCTGGTTGTTCTCAGGAGAACCCTGGGTCAGTGGGTCTGGATGGTCACTGGCCAGTGGATCTATTTTTTCTCAAGAGAACCCTGGGTCAGTGGGTCTGGATGGTCTCAGGAGAACCCTTGGTCAGTAAGTATGGATGGTCATTGGAGGTCACTGGACCAGTGGGTCTGATTGGTCTCAGGAGAAACCTGGGCAGTGGATCTGCTTGGTCCCTGGAGGACATTGGACCAGTATATTTGACTGATTTCTGGTAGACAGTGGGTCAGTGGATCTGGCTGGTCCATGTACGACTCTGGGACTACATACACAGAGAAGCAGCACATTTGAGGCAATATATTGCATCTTTAGAGAATTGGTGTTCTATTATATTATTACTGAGGAGACACAATGACACCATACACCGGACACGTCCATAACCAAAGAGAATTCGGTTTGCTTTTAGACTCATCACAGACAGTGGCATGGAAACTGACAGATGTTTATTGATGTGAAGAAAACACCAGATCTCACAAGACGTGAAGAAGCCTCCAGATCTCACAAGACGTGAAGAAGCCTCCAGATCTCACAAGACGTGAAGAAGCCTCCAGATCTCACAAGACGTGAAGAAGCCTCCAGATCTCACAAGACGTGAAGAAGCCTCCAGATCTCACAAGACGTGAAGAAGCCTCCAGATCTCACAAGACGTGAAGAAGCCTCCAGATCTCACAAGATGTGAAGGAGCCTCCAGATCTCACAAGACGTGAAGGAGCCTCCAGATCTCACAAGACGTGAAGGAGCCTCCAGATCTCACAAGATGTGAAGGAGCCTCCAGATCTCACAAGACGTGAAGGAGCCTCCAGATCTCACAAGACGTGAAGGAGCCTCCAGATCTCACCAGACGTGAAGAAGCCTCCAGATCTCACAAGACGTGAAGAAGCCTCCAGATCTCACAAGACGTGAAGAAGCCTCCAGATCTCACAGACGTGAAGAAGCCTCCAGATCTCACAAGACGTGAAGAAGCCTCCAGATCTCACAAGACGTGAAGAAGCCTCCAGATCTCACAAGACGTGAAGAAGCCTCCAGATCTCACAAGACGTGAAGAAGCCTCCAGATCTCACCAGAAGTGAAGAAGCCTCCAGATCTCACCAGAAGTGAAGAAGCCTCCAGATCTCACCAGATGTGAAGAAGCCCCCAGATCTCATAAGACGTGGTCAGACTGTCGGGGGAAGTTCTGATATTACCTCAGCAATGGTGAGTCTGATCCAAATGATGGATGGAAATGTGGAAGATGGTGTATGGCACAAGTGCAGAATGAAGATTTGCAGTCATTGCTGGTGACGGACCTCCTATCCACGGTACGTGGCGAATGTTATGACGATGACAAGCAGAGTGATGGCTCCCAGGCACACAGTGGCTGTGGCAGTGAAGATATGAAGAGGTACTGAAACTGGCAGTACCACAGTAAGGCTAAAATTAGGACTAATAAAGGGACCAGGAGAGTACCAATGTTCAGAGGAACCTCAGGAAGGTCGCTACTACTCTGTCCAGGAGATGGTGCATGCTGGGAGATGTGACAATGCACCACACACCCATCCGTCAGCTGAAGAGACGCCACAGTCTGAGAATCATCCCGAAGGAGTTGCCCCTGATAGATGAGACGGACGTGACCCTCCTGGCCGGGAAACTGTGTCCTGGAAGAAGAAAAGGACCAATGGTCATTCACACACAAAACACCCGGGTACATAGTACACCCCTTCAATACCCAACATGAACCACTGATCCCCCCAATGATTACCGGGTACATAGTACGCCCCTTCAATACCCAACATGAACCATGATCCCCCAATGATTACCGGGTACACAACGTAATACACCCCTTCAATACCCAACATGAACCATTGATCCCCCCAATGATTACCGGGTACACAACGTAATACACCCCTTCAATACCCAACATGCACCATTGATCCCCCCAATGATTACCAGGTACATAGTACGCCCCTTCAATACCCAACATGAACCATTGATCCCCCCAATGATTACCGGGTACATAATACGCCCCTTCAATACCCAACATGGACCATTGATCCCCCCAATGATTACCGGGTACATAGTACGCCCCCCCTTCAATACCCAACATGAACCATTGATCCCCCCAATGATTACCGGGTACATAGTACGCCCCTTCAATACCCAACATGAACCATTGATCCCCCCAATGATTACCGGGTACACAACGTAATACGCCCTTCAATACCCAACATGAACCATTGATCCCCCCCAATGATTACCAGGTACATAGTACGCCCCTTCAATACCCAACATGAACCATTGATTCCCCAATGATTACCGGGTACACAAATATAATACACCCCTTCAATACCCAACATGGACCATTGATCCCCCCAATGATTACCGGGTACACAACGTAATACACCCCATCCTTCAATACCCAACATGGACCATTGATCCCCCCAATGATTACCGGTACACAACGTAATACACCCCTTCAATACCCAACATGAACCATTGATCCCCCCAATGATTACCGGGTACACAACGTAATACACCCCTTCAATACCCAACATGGACCATTGATCCCCCCAATGATTACCGGGTACACAACATAATACGTCCCTTCAATACCCAACATGAACCATTGATCCCCCCAATGATTACCGGGTACATAATACGCCCCTTCAATACCCAACATGGACCATTGATCCCCCCAATGATTACCGGGTACATAATACACCCCTTCAATACCCAACATGGAACCATTGATCCCCCCAATGATTACCGGGTACACAACGTAATACGCCCCTTCAATACCCAACATGAACCATTGATCCCCCCAATGATTACCGGGTACATAATACACCCCTTCAATACCCAACATGGACCATTGATCCCCCCAATGATTACCGGGTACACAACGTAATACGCCCCTTCAATACCCAACATGAACCATTGATCCCCCCAATGATTACCGGGTACATAGTACGCCCCCTCAATACCCAACATGCACCAGTGATCCCCCCAATGATTACCGGGTACATAATACGCCCCTTCAATACCCAACATGGACCATTGATCCCCCCAATGATTACCGGGTACACATAGTACGCCCCTTCAATACCCAACATGCACCATGATCCCCCCAATGATTACCGGGTACATAACGTAATACACCCCTTCAATACCCAACATGGACCAGTGATCCCCCCAATGATTACCGGGTACATAGTACGCCCCTTCAATACCCAACATGAACCATTGATCCCCCCAATGATTACCGGGTACATAATACGCCCCTTCAATACCCAACATGGACCATTGATCCCCCCAATGATTACCGGGTACATAGTACGCCCCTTCAATACCCAACATGAACCATTGATCCCCCCAATGATTACCGGGTACACAACATAATACCCCCTTCAATACCCAACATGGACCATTGATCCCCCCAATGATTACCGGGTACATAGTACGCCCCTTCAATACCCAACATGGACCATTGATCCCCCCAATGATTACCGGGTACATAATACGTCCCTTCAATACCCAACATGGACCATTGATCCCCCCAATGATTACCGGGTACATAGTACGCCCCTTCAATACCCAACATGGACCATTGATCCCCCCAATGATTACCGGGTACATAGTACGCCCCTTCAATACCCAACATGACCATTGATCCCCCCAATGATTACCGGGTACATAGTACGCCCCTTCAATACCCAACATGGACCATTGATCCCCCCAATGATTACCGGGTACACAACGTAATACGTCCCCTTCAATACCCAACATGGACCACTGATCCCCCCAATGATTACCGGGTACACAACGTAATACACCCCTTCAATACCCAACATGGACCATTGATCCCCCCAATGATTACCGGGTACACAACGTAATACACCCCTTCAATACCCAACATGGACCACTGATCCCCCCAATGATTACCGGGTACATAGTACGCCCCTTCAATACCCAACATGCACCAGTGATCCCCCAATGATTACCGGGTACATAGTACGCCCCTTCAATACCCAACATGCACCAGTGATCCCCCCAATGATTACCGGGTACATAATACGCCCCTTCAATACCCAACATGGACCATGATCCCCCCAATGGCGGGTGCAGGCAGGGTCGGGGTCAGGTGGGGCAGGCGGGGGTCAGGCAGGGTCAGGCGGGGGACATGGCGGGTGCAGGCGGGGGTCGGGCGGGTGCAGGGCGGGGTCGGGCGGGTGCAGGCAGGGGGGGGGGGGGGGGGGGTGCAGGCGGGGGTCGGGAGGGGGATGCAGGCGGGGGTCGGGGGTGCAGGCGGGGGTCGGGAGGGTGCAGGCGGGGGGTCGGGAGAGTGCAGGCGGGGGTCGGGCGGGTGCAGGCGGGGGTCGGGAGGGTGCAGGCGGGGTCGGGCGAGTGCAGGCGGGGGTCGGGAGGGTGCAGGCGGGGGGCGGGTGAGCGTGCAGGCGGGGGTCGGGGGTGCAGGCGGGGGTCGGGAGGGTGCAGGCGGGGGTCGGGCGGGTGCAGGCGGGGGGGGGGGGGGGGGGGTCGGGAGGGGCAGGCGGGGGGTCGGGAGGGTGCAGGCGGGGGTCGGGGGGTGCAGGCGGGGGTCGGGAGGGTGCAGGCGGGGGTCGGGAGGGTGCAGGCGGGGGTCGGGAGGGTGCAGGCGGGGGTCGGGCGGGGGGCGCAGGGGGGGTCGGGAGGGTGCAGGCGGGGGTCGGGAGGGTGCAGGCAGGGGGTCAGGCAGGTTCAGGTGGCAGTGCTGATGGTGATCTGAAGGTAATCTGATCTCCTGTAATGGCCGGGCGGCGTATCCTGATCTGGGGGGTTGTGATCTGCGGTTCCGGGGTTCCTCCACATGGAGAGGAGAAGACATGGAACCAGTCCTGCTGAACATAATGGAACGGGTCACAACCCCACATACCTAACTCCGGTATAGGATGGCGATTTACCCTTCCTGGGGGGAGGAGTCGGGGGCAGCAGACGATCCATACACCAATGTGTCATACCCAGAAGTGGGCCGCTGGGGAATACAAGGTTGGGTATATTCTCCTGGCCATCAGAGGGCGCAGGAGAGTCAACAAGGGGCCAGGAGAGGGCAACAGGGGCAGGGGAACCACAGGGGAGCCACTCCAGGGCCAAGAGAGGGCAATGGGGGCAGGGGAGTCATGGGCAGCCACCAGGGGGCACAGGACAGAGCAATAGGGGTGGGGGGGGGAAATATCACAGAAGGGACATATGGGGGGCAATAGGGACAGGGGATCACAGGGTAGTCACCAGGAGGCCAGGCGATGGCAAGGACAAGGGCAGCAGGAGGATAACAGCACAACCACCAGGGGGGGCAAGAAAGGGCAAGGAGGAGTAGACTGGTCGGCGGCTCTGCGTGGGAGGAGTAAACTGCTCGGCGGCTCTGTGTGGGAGGAGTAGACAGGTCGGTGGCTCTGCGTGGGAGGAGTAGACAGGTCGGTGGCTCTGCGTGGGAGGAGTAGACAGGTCAGTGGCTCTGTGTGGGAGGAGTAGACAGGTCAGTGGCTCTGCGTGGGAGGAGTAAACTGCTCGGCGGCTCTGCGTGGGAGTAGACAGGTCAGTGGCTCTGTGTGGGAGGAGTAGACAGGTCGGTGGCTCTGCGTGGGAGGAGTAGACAGGTCGGTGGCTCTGCGTGGGAGGAGTAGACAGGTCGGTGGCTCTGCGTGGGAGGAGTAGACTGGTCGGTGGCTCTGAGTGGGAGGAGTAGACAGGTCGTGGCTCTGTGTGGGAGGAGTAGACCGGTCAGCGGCTCTGTGTGGGAGGAGTAGACCGGTCAGTGGCTCTGTGTGGGAGGAGTAGACTGGTCGGTGGCTCTGTGTGGGAGGAGTAGACAGGTCGGTGGGCTCTGTGTGGGAGGAGTAGACTGGTCGATGGGAGGAGTCCATGGCTGGTGGGAGAACATGTTGATGCCACCAATCATTCATACAATCCTCCGGCTCCACCCTTACCTCTTGATGTGCAGGACGGTGTCAGACAGACAGACGGGCACCACGCGCTCCGTGTCATTCAAGAACTTTAAGCGCAGAGATATTCTGTCTGTACTTTCTGAGTGGGCCCCGGGCCCTCGATTTCTCAGTGTGGGCGGGTCATTCACAGGTGGTTCCCCGTTGGTGGGATCAGAACCCAGGGGGGGCTCCTGGGGGCTCTCAGAGGAGGTTCCTTCAGAAGAGTCGCTGGGAATATCGGGGGTTGGTGGACGGTTATCTAAGGTGGCCTCCGTAGTGGACAGAAGGTCATCAGAGATACATGGGCCATCTGTGCCGGCTCCGCCCTGTTCTTCCTCGGGAACACCTGATGAGGGAGATGACCAATGAGTGCTGCTCCGCTCTGATGTGTGAGTGGAGATCCACGCCAAGACCACGACGGAGAGGAGAAGAACCAGAGCGAACAGGAGTGTCACCTCATCACCCACGCCTTCGATAAACGCCATGGAGGCCGCCCTATGGAGGGAAGACAATTACTGGAGGAACCAGCAATGGTATCCTGCCCCACCCCCGAACCCCTATCCTTTATTACCCCAGGAAGGGGAGGGACACGTCATGGGGGGGGGGGGGGTACCTTATCAGCACTGTGATGTCGTGTCGTGTGTTGTGCGCAGCTCTGTGACAACGTTTCCCTGTTAGAGGGCAATACTGAGCCCCACGAAAAGACCACATCCCACTCAGTCCCCCCCCCATCCTGGCCACTGATTGGCTGACTGGAGTAGTGATGTCACCATTGCAAAGTGTCCAGAGTGGTGAGCCAACACTGCAGGTAGAAGGAGCGGAGCTACGATCTCCACCTCCAGCTCCGCCCTCTGGCCAAGTGGATGTGTGACACCAGATGGAAGTCTATGGTATGGGAAGAAGAAGGCCTCTCCAATCATATATTACCACATCTCACCGTCTGTTGGCCATGGATGGTCACATCTCACCGTCTGTTGGCCATGGATGGTCACAACTAACCGAATCTCGGCCATGGATGGTCACATCTCACCGTCTGTTGGCCATGGATGGTCACATCTCACCGTCTGTTGGCCATGGATGGTCACATCTCACCTTCTGTTGGCCGTGGATGGTCACAACTAACCGAATCTCGGCCATGGATGGTCACATCTCACCGTCTGTTGGCCATGGATGGTCACATCTCACCATCTGATGGTCACATCTCACCATCTCTTGGCCGGGGATGGTCACATCTCACCGTCTGTTGGCCATGGATGGTCACATCTCACCGTCTGTTGGCCATGGATGGTCACATCTCACCGTCTGTTGGCCATGGATGGTCACATCTCACCGTCTGTTGGCCATGGATGGTCACATCTCATCTCACCGTCTGTTGGCCATGGATGGTCACATCTCACCATCTGATGGTCACATCTCACCATCTCTTGGCCGGGGATGGTCCCATCTCACCGCCTGTTGGCCGGGGATGGTCCCATCTCCCGGGAACTAACACAGATCTGTGAGGGACCCCACACTGCACATTGGCTGGTTATGAGAACAGTCAGCCCCCCTAGACTGTGGCCGGGCCCCCCTTGTCTGTGGGACCCCCCTCCCCTCTTGTCTGCAGGGACCCCCCTCCCCTCTTGTCTGCAGGGACCCCCCTCCCCTCTTGTCTGCAGGAACCCCCTCCCCCTTGTCTGTAGGACACCCTCTCTCCTTGTCTGTGGGACCCCCCTCCCCCCTTGTCTGTGGGACCCCCCTCCCCACTTGTCTATAGGACCCCCTCCTCCTTGTCTGTAGAACCCCCCTTGTCTGTAGAACCCCCCCCTCCCCCTTGCCTGTAGAACCCCCCTCCCCCTTGCCTGTAGGACCCCCTCCCCCTTCTCTGTAGGACCCCCTCCCCCCTTGTCTTTAGGACCCCCTCCCCCTTTGTCTGTAGGACCCCCTAAATGACACAGAAGTTTGGATCCCAATTTCTGGAGTTCTGTCCCTCGAAACCCACCAATGGGCTGTGACCTGCTGACCTCAGCACCCCCAGATAGAGAGCCCCCCAGATTCACATCCCCCTCCCCCAATTCAGAGCCCCTCTCCATCACACAGAACCAACAATAGCCGGAATGTCACTCACAGTCATCTCTGCTCTTCCTGTGTCACGTGTACACTACACGCTGAGCATGCTGGGAAATCCGCCTCCCACCTGACTCTCCTCCGCAGCCATATTGAATACTGGCAAAGTCGTCCTGTCCTCTACTGCCACCTAATGTCTGCTCTACGGTACTGCACCTCTCCTATGTATGTGAATGGGATCCCCTCCTGTCCTCTACTACTGCCACCCTAATGTCTGCTCTACGGTAATGTCTGCACCTCTCCTATGTATGTGAATGAGATCCCCTCCTCCTGTCCTCTACTGCTGCACCTAATGTCTGCTCTACGGTACTGCACCTCTCCTATATGTATGTGAATGGGATCCCCTCCTCCTGTCCTCTACTGCCACCTAATGTCGGCTCTGCGGTACTGCACCTCTCCTATGTATGTGAATGGGATCCCCTCCTCCTGTCCTCTACTGCCACCTAATGTCCGCTCTGCGGTACTGCACCTCTCCTATGTATGTGAATGAGATCCCCTCCTCCTGTCCTCTCTACTGCCACCTAATGTCTGCTCTACGGTACTGCACCTCTCCTATGTATGTGAATGAGATCCCCTCCTCCTGTCCTCTACTGCCACCTAATGTCTGCTCTGCGGTACTGCACCTCTCCTATGTATGTGAATGAGATCCCCTCCTCCTGTCCTCTACTGCCACCTAATGTCTGCTCTACGGTACTGCACCTCTCCTATGTATGTGAATGAGATCCCCTCCTCCTGTCCTCTACTGCCACCTAATGTCTGCTCTGCGGTACTGCACCTCTCCTATGTATGTGAATGAGATCCCCCTCCTGTCCTCTACTGCCACCTAATGTCCGCTCTGCGGTACTGCACCTCTCCTATGTATGTGAATGAGATCCCCTCCTCCTGTCCTCTACTGCCACCTAATGTCTGCTCTACGGTACTGCACCTCTCCTATGTATGTGAATGAGATCCCCTCCTCCTGTCCTCTACTGCCACCTAATGTCTGCTCTGCGGTACTGCACCTCTCCTATGTATGTGAATGAGATCCCCTCCTGTCCTCTACTGCCACCTAATGTCCGCTCTGCGGTACTGCACCTCTCCTATGTATGTGAATGGGATCCCCTCCTGTCCTGTCCTCTACTGCCACCTAATGTCTGCTCTGCGGTACTGCACCTCTCCTATGTATGTGAATGAGATCCCCTCCTGTCCTCTACTGCCACCTAATGTCCGCTCTGCGGTACTGCACCTCTCCTATGTATTTGAATGGGATCCCCTCCTCTTGTCCTCTACCGCCACCTAATGTCCGCTCTGCGGTACTGCACCTCCTATTATATGTATGTGAATGGGATCCCCTCCTCCTGTCCTCTACTGCCACCTAATGTCCGCTCTGCGGTACTGCACCTCTCCTATGTATGTGAATGGGATCCCCCTCCTGTCCTCTGCTGCCACCTAATGTCCGCTCTGCAGTACTGCACCTCTCCTATGTATGTGAATGGGATCCCCTCCTCTGTCCTCTGCTGCCACCTAATGTCCGCTCTGCGGTACTGCACCTCTCCTATGTATGTGAATGGGATCCCCTCCTCCTCCTGTCCTCTGCTGCCACCTAATGTCCGCTCTGCGGTACTGCACCTCTCCTATTATATGTATGTGAATGGGATCCCCTCCTCCTGTCCTCTGCTGCCACCTAATGTCCGCTCTGCGGTACTGCACCTCTCCTATGTATGTGAATGGGATCCCCTCCTCCTGTCCTCTGCCGCCACCTAATGTCCGCTCTGCGGTACTGCACCTCTCCTATGTATTTGAATGGGATCCCCTCCTGTCCTCTGCTGCCACCTAATGTCCGCTCTGCGGTACTGCACCTCTCCTATGTATGTGAATGGGATCCCCTCCTCCTGTCCTCTGCTGCCACCTAATGTCCGCTCTGCGGTACTGCACCTCTTCTGTTGCGTGTGAATGTGATCCTTGCTTTCCTCTCGTAGGTCTTTTTTTTCACATGTGATTTGGTCTATGAAGAGCGATCTCCATCCAGATTGATCTTCAGAGAGCTTTTGACAGGCAGGAATTGTTGCATTACCTCTTTTAACCCTTTAGACTCAACTAGTGCGCCACAATTTTGTGCATTTTACGCAGTTGCATCGTGTTTGCGGCCCCATTCACTGTTGGAAAGTGATGGGGGATATAATTCTTGCCACGATGCAAAGCATTGTGGGATATATGTACACCCCTGGCCACTGCAGCTAAAGGGGGTAGTGTTTGGGGGATGGTAAGAATGCGGCTTGACCACCATTCAACCTCATATATGAAGGAGATCCTGTCAGCACAGGGCTGCCTACCGAGGTGTCACTAGAACCTTCAGGGCCCCAGTGCAAGAAACCATGAAGGGCCCCCCAACCCCTGACCGGGGCCCTTCCCTTTGAGCCCAGGTGTGAACTTTGTGACCTTGGTAGTTCCTCCACTGGTGCCAGTAGTTTTTGATTTTAGTTTTTTACATTTTTTTTTTACCATTTTATTTACTTTTTACAATATTCGTTTTTTCCATTTTGTACTATTTTAGGAGTTCTCGTTGGGGGTCTTTGGTGAGATATCGGGGTCAGACCTCTGATGTTCCACCTTTCAGACAGGGAATGGAGATTGAGGACACCTCCCCTCTTCCTCCATCTTTGCAGCCTTAGCTGCACAGAATGAATGGACAGGAATCGCTCTGTACAGAGGCTTCCCCTTCATTCACAAACGGAAGCATCATAAACACAGCTTACTATGCTTCAGGTAGGAATGAACACAGTGAGCGATTGGTATGGATCAGTGACTTTGTCCATTCTGAAAAAGGAAGGGGCTGGTATAGTACATATTTACCGGCCTCTTCCCCACTCTCCATCCTGACACATCCCCCGCAGCAGCAGGTGAAGGGGGAATCCGGCAGCACTACAGGAAGGGGGGGGCAGAAGAGCACACAGGGGCCCGGGGTCAGCAGAAAGAAGCTGGACAGGACATATAGAAGTATTGATCCCCTCCATTTTCCTCCTGCAGCCGCTGAATGCCTGTGGGAGGGAGAGGAGGAGGAGCCGGCAGAGTCAGCAGGCTGAAGTCAGGATCCAGGTTGGGTTCAAAACAGATGACTGGATGGTGGTGTGTTGACCATTGTGGTGCCTCTGCCATCTGGTGGTTGCCACTATGCACTGCATCACACTGGAGCCACACCTGAACCTCATTATTTACCTTCATAGGGAACCCTGACCTTCCGCTCAGACAGGTTGAGTTTGTTGGGGTCGGCCTGATTACTGTGTTTGTATTTGGTTCATGGAATGTGACCTCAGCTTGGACTTTGGATTATGAATTTGTGTCTCCAGATCTGGTAGATCTAGTTGTCTGCCAGGTAGATGTTGTCACCGCCGGATCTTCC